TACAACTTGTCCTACAGTGTGTTGTGTCCTACAGTATATTGTGTTCTACAGTGCGTCCTAGACTGTGTCCTACAGTGCGTCCTACAGTGTGTCCTACAGTGTGTTGTGTCCTACAGTGCGTCCTACAGTGTTTTGTGTTCTACAGTGTGTCCTGCAGTGTGTTCTACAGTATGTTGTGTTCTACAGTGCGTCCTACAGTGCGTCCTACAGTGCGTCCTACAGTGTGTCCTATAGTGCGTCCTACAGTGCGTCCTACAGTGCGTCCTACAGTGCGTCCTACAGTTTGTCCTACCGTGTGTTGTGTCCTACAGTGTGTCTTACAGTGCGTCCTATAGTGCGTCCTACAGTGCGTCCTACAGTGCGTCCTACAGTGTGTCCTACAGTTTGTCCTACCGTGTGTTGTGTCCTACAGTGTGTCCTACAGTGCGTCCTACAGTGTGTCCTATAGTGCGTCCTACAGTGCGTCCTACAGTGCGTCCTACAGTGTGTCCTACAGTTTGTCCTACCGTTTGTTGTGTCCTACAGCGTGTCTTACAGTGGGTCATGCAGTGTGTCCTACAGTGCGTACTACAGTGCGTCCTACAGTGTGTTATGTTCTACAGTGTGTCCTAGAGTGTGTCCTGCAGTGTGTCCTACAGTGCGCCCTACAGTGTATCCTACATTGTGTTGTGTCCTACAGTGTGTTATGTTCTACAGTGCATCCTACAGTGTGTCCTACAGTGCGTTGTGTCCTACGTGTCCTACAGTTTGTCCTACAGTGCCTCCTACAGTGTGTCCTACAGTATGCTGTGTTCTACAATGCGTCCTAGAGTGTGTCCTACAGTGCGTCCTACAGTGTTGTGTCCTACAGTGCGTCCTACAGTGTTGTGTTCTACAGTGCGTCCTAGAGTGTGTCCTACAGTGTGTCTTACAGTGCGTCCTACAGTGTATCCTACAGTGCGTCCTACAGTGCGTCCTATAGTACGTCCTACAGTGTGTTGTGTCCTACAGTGCGTCCTACAGTGTGTCCTACAGTGTGTTGTGTCTTACAGTGTGTCTTACAGTGTGTCTTACAGTGTGTCCTACAGTGTGTTGTGTCTTACAGTGTGTCTTACAGTGTGTCTTACAGTGTGTCCTACAGTGTGTGTAGGGAGAAAGGGAGGGTTTGATCACAGTCCAGTTTTCTCTGTGTTTTCACCGTGTCCTAAATATCACCCTACCTCCTGATGGTCACAGCAGACTGTCCCATCGGTCCCAGCAGCTCAGGCTTCCTCTGCCCGGCCACAGATGATGCATTCTGGGAAGTAGGGCAGCAGGGTGGCCTGGCTTCAAACAGAGAGCGTCTTGTAATGTGAAAGGTCACTGCATTGTGTGTGAGTGTTGGTCCAAAGGGCCCTTGAGACATGTTCAGGTGTCCTCGGTGCTCTGAGAGATGCTGTGCTCTGGTTCAGGGATGGTTTAACTGTGGCGTTCTTTGCATGTGTTTGTAGGTTAGTCACACGGCTCAGGTCTGACGATCTGTTACGTAAATGTTAACGGAAATGAAAGGAAAAAAAGCCCTGTGTGGTAAATCCTCACTCAGTTGTTGATTTTTGCTAAAAATACCTCGCTCAGGGCGCTAAATTTATCCGGCCCGCCTCGGAAGAAATTGCTGGAAATAACCCGCTTTGGAGTCCAAATGGAAATGTGTGCTGACCTCATTCTGGCTGTGAGGTGGAAACAGAAGGCGAATGAAAACACAGAAAGCACGTAACATTTCTTTGGAGCAGGGATTATAGATCATTACATTTCAGCTGTTCCTCCTCCCTTTGCAGGCAGCAGCACTTTATCCAGATTAACCACTCTTTCTGTCCTCTTCATGTTCTGACGGGACAAATGCACATTGTGTCTCGCTTCCTTGCTGTGCACTGGTCCCAGAGGACGCTGGTCCCAGAGGACGCTGGTCCCAGAGGACCTCACATCATCCCTAACCCTAACCCTAATCTCAGATAACCAGAGCGCTGCTGTCAGAGCTGCAGCGCCACTCTCAGACCAGGGCGGCTCTGACCTTGACCGAATCCAGTATCAGAATCCAAGTCAGTTTGAATCCATTTAGTTCAGCTTCTGGAAACCTTCAGCGGCTCGGCTCGTTTTTTTTTTTAAAGAGGAGAAAAAGAATGAACGAGGAAAAGAGAGAGAGAGAGACAATTTACCATTTTCAGAATAAAAGACTCTGATGCTACATCGCGTTTCTCTGTATATCAACATAATGACATTATACTAACTGACCTCGGCTAGAAGTTGTGTTTATACGTTTTTTCCTCTGACGGGCTTGGTTCTGTTATCACCGTGGGATCTACTTGGTCCTCCGTGCTGCGCTCTGTAATGACGGACAGACAGCTCACGTTGTTGATGGAAGTGTTTCTCCTTGTTGGGTTTATCTGGCTGGTTTGAACTGTTGGAATGGATCACAGAGATAAACAAAGAGGACAGATTTGGTGTCGGTGTCGTAGCAGTGACCTTATGACCTTCACATTGTGTGAAATGTTTCATCACTCAGCTGGACTCAGAGATTGAGGACTCTAACAGAGATCCAGTAAAGCAGCACAAACGGAGGATTATTGAGAACCAGGATGAGCAGCGGGCAGCAATCCACTGAGTTCTGTGAGGATTAAGCTGAACACTCAGGGGTCACTGCAGGTCGTTCTCATATTGTTCTTTGAACAACGCATCACAAAAAAAGATTCTTAAGAAGTGAGCAGAAAGAGAGACAGGAGACAGGAGAGAGGAGAGACAGGAGCGAGGATAGAGAGGATGGAGGAGAGAGGAGGCAGGAGGGAGGATAGAGAGGAGCGAGGTGAGAGGAGGGAGGAGGAGAGAGGAGGGAGGAGAGACAGGAGGGAGGAAAGAGAGGATGGAGGAGACAGGAGAAGGGGAGAGCGAAGGTTTCTTTTCTTCTTTGAAACTCGGTCTGTGTTTCCTGCTGCGATGTGTCGTTCAGAGAGCTCGGCGAGATGTTTCAGAAATCAGAGCTCCTTTTCTGACTCGGATCTTAAAGCGGAGCTCGAGCTGAAAGTTACTTCATGGTTTCTGTTTCAGCCGCTGCCAACATGTTCAGAAAGTGAAGAGCGCTCACTCTGAGGATTTTCTGTTTGTCTCTACATCGCTGCAGGAACTCGTCTTGAATCTCCGCTTAATAGTTTGAGTTTGTGACCTCATAATTCTGCTGCTTCAACACATTCATGATCAAAGGTCTCTAAGTCTCTTTGTGTCTTTGATTGGCTGCTCTGAATACATATAAAAAAACAGACAGACAGAAAAAGTCATTTTCAGAAAACAGTGAACGTTTAATGAAGAAATCGTTTCAATTCACAAAGTTACATTTTGACTGTTCTGACGCACTTCTCCCCCGATGATTCTTATGATCGACCCGCTGCCACAGATGTGTTCACACGGAGGAGAAAACCTCAGGTCTGTGTGAGACGAGGGGAAATAACAATGTGGAGACTTTCAGCTGCACTGTGAACGCAGCCCGAGCGCCGTGCCATCATACTGACGGGGTTACCATGGCGTGAGAGCAGGGGCTGCTGGCCAGGAACTCAGCACAGCTGAAATAGCAAGCAGCAGAGCCAGGAGCTGAAATACTACACCCCCCTCCTCCCTCCCTGTGAACCTCCCCCTCCTCTGTATTTTCTCACCTCTCTCCCTCACTCTGCCTCTCTTTTATCTGACTTCTTGGTGTTTTCTTGATCTTCATCACCTTCATCTGGAGCCTCCATCACTCTGTCCATCCATCCCCCTCCCACTGTTGGCAGTCCCCCCTCCCATCACATCCTCCCACAGCAGAGAGGTTACGGCCGCATTTAAATATCTGAATGTACATCAACCTCCTCCTCGCTGTTATGAGACCAGCTGCGCAGGGCTCATTGAGTTAGCCACGAGCTAAAGTGGATAACGGGGTGGGGGGGGGGGAGTTAGCTCTCCTCATTCTTTATCTGCAGTAGGAAAGACCTCTACAGAAGGTGGATGAGGAGCTGTTGCTCCTGGTGCTCCTCCTCTCCAGACCTGTTTGTAAACAGGTTAATCTCTGCTCTAAAAACAGGCTTTTTAGAATGGGTGTGTATGTGACTTCCTGTGCTTCTGCAGCCAGCCTCTAGTGGACACTCGAGGAACTGCAGGATTTTACACTCCTGCATCGGCTTAATTTTTCAACAGCCAAGTGAAGACCCGAAACATTTGTTAAACAGCTGACATGACACGGCGAGGAGTGGAACGATTTCAACCCGACGATTTCAGAGTTCTTTAAAGCTGCTGAAATCCATCTCTCTGTGCTCGGCTGTAAAGTCCAGCTCACTGCATCAGCGAGGAGTGTTTCTCTTTTTTCCACGGGGGAGAAGCTGAGCGGCGCTTTGGGTCGATAGAGAGCGTTCTTGTTTTCATGGCGGGGCCGTGTCGGCGCAGCGTTAGATAACACTTTATTTGATGGTGTTCAACGGCTGACTCGTCCTCACCTCTCGCTCGCCCAGGCCTCTCCTGCTCTCCAGCCCACACACGCTCGCTCCCATGTAGAAATGTACACAGACAACCACCCACTGACTCACACACACACACACACACACAAACAGACACAGACACACACACACACACACACACAGACACTCACACACACACAGACACACACACACACACAAACACACACTCACAGCTGATTGTCTGTTCTCTCAGCTGAACGGCCAATCAGAATGATTCCTACGCCCAACCGCGATGGCTCGTGTGCACATGTAGAGTCGATGGATAGCGTCGGAGCTGGACACACCGCAAAAACTAGGGGGGGGGGGGGGGGGGGGGCGACCGCTCACCGGCGGCCTCCTCGGTGTGTCGGGGTCTTAAGGTGTTCTGTGGCTCTCGGCTCACCGTTCTTCAGTCCACTGACATGACGTCACGATCGTCGTCCAATAAAAAATGGCGATGTCGTGGATGTTATTCTCCCCCGCTCTGTGTGTGAATGTGTTGTTGACCTCTCCTCTCGTTCTTCTTTGCAGAACGTGAAGAACGCCGTCAGTCGACATGGAACAGACGAGTCCAGCACCGACATCGTGAGAGCAGAGATCTGTAAGTAAGGACCACCCCCCCTCCACCCCACACACACACGCACACACGCACACACACACACACACAGACACACACACACACACACACACACACACACAAAAACACACGCGCACACACACACATACACACACAAAAACACACAGACACACACAGAGAGAGAGAGCGAGTGTGTGATACAGAGTGAACGGAGGCTTTTCACAGAGGACAATGGAGTCACAACAAGTGTGTGTGTGTGTGTGTGTGTGTGTGTGTGTGTTGGTATGTGTTTTTATCTGTGTGCGTGTTGCTGAGGGAGCCGGGCCCTGAAGGGTGGGGGGGGTTTATGAATGGTCCCCTCTGCCCCACCTGTAGACTGTCAGCTGTTGTAAGCCTGTTAAACGTCAGCTGTTTCTGAGAAGTGTGTGTGTTTGTGTAAGTGTGAGTGTGTGTGTGAGTGTGTGTGTGAGACAAAGTCAGGGAGCTCTTGGAGGGGTGTAGAAGAGGGTGGGGGGGCTGCTGGCCCCGTGTGGCCCTCATTGCACATCCAACGTCTCGTCGCCTTAGTGAAATGGTTTGTGCAGAACAGAGCACCATGGCGGCCTGGACCTCTATTCTGCTCGTGTAGCATTCAACAGACAGCTTTGTTTGAGAAGTCCGACCCCCCCCCCCCCAGTATCTCCAGTACCTGAGATCTGTTTTTCAGACGGTCAGACGGTTCAGAGGCGATAAATGTTTATCTGGTTTATCTGAAACGATGTTTCATCCTCAACAGTAGATGATGTCATAACCACCACAGGTAGACTGACCACGAGCTACCAACACTGTGAATGATGTTTTATCGTTTTCTTCTTCCTTACGGCTCACCAACTACCACAGAGAGCGACACGTTTCAGCCCGTGACCTTCACGACCCTGAAACTAGTCTGATAAAGCGTTTAGAAGACGTGCAGATATAAGGACATGACTTGAAGGCAGAGTACGGCCTGAAGTCTTAGCTGTGGACTGTAGCGGCGTTAGTTTTCAGCAGACAGATCTAATAAAGGATGGAACAGGATAAACATGAGGCTCATGCGGGCTGATAGAGGAGTTTGGGGATGTGCAGATCAGAGCTGAGGTTTGATTTCTAATCCCCGTCTCTGAGTAACCATCGTGCTCTTCATCGTTTTCATCTGCAGCGTGCTCGTAGAGTCCGTTTACTCTCGCAGAAATCAGAGCTGACGTTGGAGCTGGTCTGATTTCTCCATCAGCACTTCAAACAAGAATTTGAAAGAGAATGTTTCCCTCTCAGACTTCCTGATGCAAACGTCTCTTTGAAATGAAACATGGATGAATCTTTAATTCCAGGCGTCTGCTCTCGTTTCTCCCGCGGTAAACTGAATGCCTCGGCGCTCTGCAGTCGCTCATGCTGGCGTGGGAGTCACAGGTGCTGAGTGATTTATGGCTTTAATTTACTTGATAGATTAAAATATAATAAAGCAACAAGCAGCGAGTGTTAATTAGGAGAGCACAGCGAGGGTTTTCTTCCCTGAAGTCGCTCGGCAGGGAGGCAGAAACAGCTTACTAAGAAGTGTTTGAACTTCCTCTAAAGGAAGAGTCTGGACTTAAATCCACCTTCAGGCCTGACACGGAGGATAACTCAGAGAAATATCTGTGTCAGTGACCTTTAAGTTCCTGAAGGTACCCCAGAGTCCGGTGGAAACGGGGTCCAGGGTTTGTGAGGGTGGCAGCAGCTGAGCGAGCCACACAGTCGAAGGGGGAACAGGTTGCTGCGTCTGTTGGGGCTTGTCTCAGCGCTCCTGGCCTTAAACCTTCAGCTGTGACAGCTCCTGAGGCTGGCAGATAGCAGCCGAGTTCCCCCTGATAGGCTGAGACACCGAGAGGTCTGTAAAACATAATGAGATCATCGTCCATGTTTCATGGATTCAGATGTGTTTAAAGTTCCAACAACACACTGACTTAACATAAGCACTCCACTAACTGATGTGAAGGGAGCTGTGATGTCATGTCTAGAGATATTCAGAGGAAGCTGCTGTGGGAACATTTGACGACTTCAGTGGAAATACACATTTGTCCAATCAGCTGAATCTTCCTCCATGGACATGATGCAGATAAAGAGAAGGGAGCCCGTCCTCATGCACTACATGCAGCGTTCACACGCTGGGATCTATACGGGAATAAAAAGGAGAAAAACAATCAGGATGTGAAAGCAGAAACTTTGCAGACTTAACAAAGACACAGAAATAAAATAAAACATCTCCATCTGTGAGGTCTGTAACTCTGACCCCCCCCCCCCCCCCAAGTGACGCTGTCGTTAACTTCTCATTTCTTTGTTTTCTATTCTGATGGCCAACAGCAGCTCCGTCAGCTCTGTCAGTGTGAGAGTGCAGCTCCATCAGATTGAGAGTGCAGCTCCATCAGAGTGAGAGTGCAGCTCCTTCAGTGTGAGAGTGCAGCTCCTTCAGCGTGAGAGTGCAGCTCCATCAGATTGAGAGTGCAGCTCCATCAGAGTCAGAGTGCAGCTCCATCAGAGTGAGAGTGCAGCTCCATCAGATTGAGAGTGCAGCTCCATCAGATTGAGAGTGCAGCTCCATCAGAGTGAGAGTGCAGCTCCATCAGTGTGAGAGTGCAGCTCCATCAGTGTGAGAGTGCAGCTCCGTCAGTGTGAGAGTGCAGCTCCATCAGAGTCAGAGTGCAGCTCCGTCAGTGTGAGAGTGCAGCTCCATCAGAGTCAGAGTGCAGCTCCGTCAGTGTGAGAGTGCAGCTCCATCAGAGTCAGAGTGCAGCTCCATCAGAGTGAGAGTGCAGCTCCATCAGAGTCAGAGTGCAGCTCCATCAGTGTGAGAGTGCAGCTCCATCAGAGTCAGAGTGCAGCTCCATCAGAGTCAGAGTGCAGCTCCATCAGAGTCAGAGTGCAGCTCCGTCACTGTGAGAGTGCAGCTCCATCAGTGTGAGAGTGCAGCTCCTTCAGTGTGAGAGTGCAGCTCCATCAGTGTGAGAGTGCAGCTCCTTTAGTGTGAGAGTGCAGCTCCATCAGTGTGAGAGTGCAGCTCCTTCAGTGTGAGAGTGCAGCTCCATCAGTGTGAGAGTGCAGCTCCTTTAGTGTGAGAGTGCAGCTCCATCAGTGTGAGAGTGCAGCTCCTTCAGTGTGAGAGTGCAGCTCCATCAGTGTGAGAGTGCAGCTCCTTTAGTGTGAGAGTGCAGCTCCATCAGTGTGAGAGTGCAGCTCCTTTAGTGTGAGAGTGCAGCTCCTTCAGTGTGAGAGTGCAGCTCCTTTAGTGTGAGAGTGCAGCTCCTTTAGTGTGAGAGTGCAGCTCCATCAGAGTGAGAGTGCAGCTCCTTCAGAGTGAGAGTGCAGCTCCATCAGAGTGAGAGTGCAGCTCCTTTAGTGTGAGAGTGCAGCTCCATCAGAGTGAGAGTGCAGCTCCTTCAGAGTCAGAGTGCAGCTCCATCAGAGTGAGAGTGCAGCTCCTTCAGAGTCAGAGTGCAGCTCCATCAGTGTGAGAGTGCAGCTCCTTTAGTGTGAGAGTGCAGCTCCTTCAGTGTGAGAGTGCAGCTCCTTTAGTGTGAGAGTGCAGCTCCTTTAGTGTGAGAGTGCAGCTCCATCAGAGTGAGAGTGCAGCTCCTTCAGAGTGAGAGTGCAGCTCCATCAGAGTGAGAGTGCAGCTCCTTCAGAGTCAGAGTGCAGCTCCATCAGAGTGAGAGTGCAGCTCCGTCAGTGTGAGAGTGCAGCTCTGTGCAGAGTAAAGCTGCAGATATCTTCTCTCCAGATTCACACACTAAAGAAGAACTAACTGTGTTTGTGTCTGAGGATCATCAGAGCTTTGAGAGTTAGACTCAAAGAGGAGTAGAGAGACGATACAGGGAGAACATGATGAACGAGTTATGGACATGTAAGAGAGAGAGAAGAGCTTGGTCAGTTTTTAAATTTTCTCCTGTCATCGCCGACGTCGTCAGGACGAAGAGAAGGAGGAGGAGGAGGAGGAGGAGGAGGAGGAGGAGGAGGCTCATTTAATAATCAGGTTATTTACTGTCAAACCTGTGAAAGCCAATCATGTTTATTCACCAACCTGTTCGTCACCTTGTACAAAGACAGAGAGGTAAATACACTCGTCTTCAACTAAACCTCTGCAGCTCGTCCCTGTGGGGGCACATGACTCAGGTGACAAAACTCTCTCACACACACACACACACACGCACACAAACACACACGCACACACCAAACACAAACACACAAAATCAATGTGTTTCTCTTTCCTCCAGCTGGTCCGGAGTATTTGCAGCTCCCTGTGTGTATCCTTGAGAGAGCTGCAGCTTCTACGCTTCGTGTTCCCTTTCAACATAAATAAACTCGCCTGCGGGCGAAGAAGCTTCTTCCTCTCACCGCTCTGAAAGGAGAATAGATCTCCTCTCTCTCGCTGTTTGTGCCTCCCCCACCTCTCCTCAGAGCCAGATCCCCTCCACAGCCTTGGCTAACGTTCCCGTTTGTCTCATGAGCAGCAGAGGTAGGCGCACAGATCCCCTTTTCAGGCTCCAGGCCAGGACCTGGATGAGGACCCCGTGTTCAACATGGAGGGTCCCCTGGCGCCACCACGACTGATCGTGTGTGTGTGTGTGTGTGTGCGCAGAGAGAGAGTGGTGAAACGAGGCAGTGAAGCTAGCTTTGTGACTCCCAAAGTGACTCAGACAATGTCCATCATGTATCATCACGTACCGGTTTACTCCCTGAAGCCAGCCTGACCGGTCTGTGACGGTAGATCTGGTCTACTGAGATACCTGACAGCGTGTAACGTGAGCGAGCGGCAGCAACTAAATCAGTCAGGTTCACTTGTTTCCTGTTTGAGTGTCCGAGCAGCTCACGAGCGGCGCATCGCCAAACCCCAACTGTTGATTGGAAAATCTTCTTGATCTTTCTCACCCCACAGAGCTCGTTAGCTTGTTAGCTCATTAGCTCGTTAGCTTGTTAGCTCATTAGCTCGTTAGCTTGTTTTACGAAATGGAGATGACGGTGCATTAAAATATCTG